AATAAAAGGAAGGAATTCCTCCATTCCTTTGCTAATGTAGAAGACAAACTTCTATCCAGGTTCAATCCCAGATTTTTAATTTTAAAACGGTGCAGGAAATTGACAATTAGAAATCTCTCTTTTATAATGAAAATAACAGAGAATGCAGTGCAAGCATTCTCTTCCACATATCCCTGGACACTATCTCTTCAAGAATCCATCAGTATGTTTAAGATAAAATTGGAATACTTTCTAAAAATATAATGCCAAGAGTGAAGATGTTATGGGGGTACTTGTTTTAAGTCTGGTGCATGCCAAGAAAAGCATCCACAGGCATATTATTCTTCAGTGGCATTATGTAAGACATAACAAAAATATAGAAAACCAGAGAAGCATAAGATGAGGCAAGTAGTGCTGAAGAATTGATATGTTGAATACCATTGCTATGTTGGGAAAGTATTTCAATAGGTAGGGAGCATAAATACTGTATTTGATACAGATTTTTCACCTGTATCAAATACAGCATTTATTGTCCATACTTATCACGGATGCCTACTGTATTTTTTTATAAATGTATTTTTTCCAGAAATACCAGCTTTTGATAGGCGCAAAGGTTTTGCTACGTAAAGGGCTTAAAGCAGTTTTTAATTACGGAGTAATGGCAGAACAGACATTTGCAACACTTGTTATATACCAATACCAGGAGAATCACAAACTACAACTTCCTTGAGAATACCAATATATTTATACATTCGTAATGTAAATTGCCATTTTTTGAGTGACAAATTAATGCAAAAAGGAAGAAATTTAAACCCTGGTATTGGAAAGGGCTCAGAGACTGGAATTCTCTAAGTTTTCCAAGATCCTAAGAAGCTGAAAGTAGTTCATTTTAAACAGAAAGTAATAGCAATCCATAATGATGCACTGCTGGTCACTCGACACTACTGTATGGAAATATATATCTTGAATATTTCATTTTAATTTGATATTAATAATTTTTGAAGCATTTGAACGTTTCTGCATTGACAGGAACATTCCAGCAAATATGTGAGAAGGCAAATTAAGAGATTTTAGTGAGAATGATTCAAAATAACTCTACTCAAAATATATGTTAAAGGATATTTCCTCACCCACATCTTCAGTGCAGAAAAATGTCAGCATCTGTGAGAAAAATTATAATGTGTGATAGATGTCTTAAGAGACTGGGAATCTGCTATTAGTCAAATTAGCCACAGAAAATTATTTTCTAATTGTACTCAAAGCAAAGGCTTCTAAAAGAAGTGTTCAGCTTGGAAATCTACAGTAGCATGAAATTAGCCAGGTAGAAGCATGAACTGATAATTCACTCACAGAGCTTTTCTTTTTACAAATCCAGTGCATCTCTATTAAAATAAAGCTCTTGCTGATTAAAAAAAAAACTAGTGAAGAATGAGGAATGGATAAAAGAGTGGCTGTACTGTAATACTGAATTCTGACATGCATATTAATGGAATCTTGAGAAGTATGTCTGATCTCTATAGTTTACAGTGATTACTTTTGAATTGCAATATGCTGAACTTTAATATTTGTGGAAATTTACTTGTTAGTTCTGCTAAACTCCTCCTCCAAGTCTTTACTTGAACCATTTGCTCTGATTAAAGATTTCTTTGACAAGAATGATCAAATGATCATAGTAAAACTTAGTAAATTATTTTTTGTTCGCACAAAACTTAGCAAAAAGACCAAAGAAAGAAAAAGTATAGAGTGTGCTTCCTTAAGAACATTCTGTGCCTTTTTTTTTAAAATGGGGAAGTGGGGAGAGAAGAGAAACAAAAAATAAAGCTAAAAGTAAACAAACATTTTAAATAACCGTGTTTATAATATTGATGACATATATTGTTATTATTATTTAAATTAACAAGTTTATCAATACACAAAGCATGTACTTCTAGTATATTTAAGCCACAGTTTTCACTTTCCATAATATACGGATCTTCATTTTAAAGGGCAGGAAACTAACTCTATAATTCTTCCTGGTACGCTCCAAAATAAACACAATTTTGTAGCCATTGTATTTGTAGCAATGCCTTTGCTACAAATTGTGACTTCAAAGATGGTAAAGAAAATTCTATGTATGATTAAAGTCCAACTGTGATCCCAAGTAAAACTGGTAGCCTATCTATGGAGTTGTACAGACCAGGATACATGTGGCACAGCATCAGTGAGTCGTATGTTTGGTGCTCAGAAGAAGCTCAAATGCACTGGCTCTCTTCACATCTTTTCGGATGGTCTTTATTTTTCTCATATATTATTTAGAATCCCTGGCTCAAAGTTGTTATCAGAAATGTTGACCATATGGGAGAACAGAATGGAGTTTGTCTGTTTGTGTATCCTTCTTATGAGTAAATCATTGCAAAAAAAAAAAAAAACACCTTTCAATTTGCCAGACCAGAATTTTCTCCTAAAGAATTACCTTTTCCCTTATAAGTGAATCACATGAATCAATAAAGGTGAATTTAATTGTTCTCCAGAAGCAAGCAGTTACTACGATTCTTGTTATTTCACACAACTTGAAACCTCCCTTCATCTTTTTAACTGTTCAGCATAATGTTTCCTTTATTCTAGTTATCCTCATTTCAGATTTAGAACTATCAAACCTTTGGTGATTATTGTAACTAACTCCTCCTGAATATGCCTGTTAGGGTATAACATCTGCCTATTGTGCCTATTCTACAAATTGCCAATTTTGAGATCACCCTTCCGAAACAGCTATTTAATATCTCAAATTTAAGTGCGATCATTTATAGTTTTAATATAATTTGAAACATTCGGGGCCGCTTTTAATGTTTTGTTTCCTATCGCTAACATCATTGCCAGAGAATATTATTTAGAATGAGTCTTTTCTTGGCTAGTATTGGATGATGGTAATCTGGATAACATTTGAATTTGAATCTAAAATCTCAGATTGTAGAGAAAGGTTTTATGCAATATATGAGTTTAAATTGGCACTAACAGTTTTCTAAAGTAGAAATAGAAGTAACAATTTTCCAAATCACTAAATAAACCTGTCATTTTTATACCACATTCTGTGCAAAGATTTCTTTCATGAACAGCGGCCTATCAAAATGAGACTTCAAGCAGTCAGAAGCACTTTTCATGTAATGAATACCTGTGCTTTACTCTTCTGAATAAATTACTCAAGATACCAGTCTGAAGAGTATAGATAATCACTTGATATTGGTAATATCACTCTCCATTTGTGAGTTTCTCCAGAGGCCTAGAGCTGCACACAGTTGGAAGCAAAGTATTACACTATGTAACTAAGTCATATATGATCTAGAGTAGCATTATTTAAAGAGTTGGATCTCACTAATAATTTAATTAGAACACTTGTGGTAGCAAGATATTTTTAAACAGGTCTAAGTGGTGGTTACTAATTTTCCAGAGATTCATACAAAGTAGCTCTCTTTGAGATGTTTTTTAGGCTTTAAACTCTAAATAAGTAAATGGATCTTGACACTTAGGCTATAAACATTAAGCGCATCAACAGTTCTCAAATTTTGCCCTAGCTTCCCCACAACTCAGTATTATAAAATAATGATACTATGGCAACCAAGTTTGAAAACATATTCATAAATGAGCCTGATATGCAAACAGAAACTCCAAGCTCATAATATTAGGTTTTGATGTGGTTGTCGGAGCTGAATACATTTCCTATTCCTAACATCAAATGTTGCAGTTACTGCAATATTTCAAAAGAGTTAAAAGTATAAAAAATTAGGGTTACTTGAGAGAATTGTGAAAATGAAAAGCACATACTCAGATATACTCATGCAAGACGTGTTTGCAAGGCACAACCACAGCAAATTTTATTTTCACACATTTGATCAACCTTGCTGCTCATTTTTTAAATTCTCTCTATTGATTCTACATACTGCAAAACTGTTTTCTTTTTCAGATCACAAACAATTAAAATATTCTAGTTAAAGAGAATAACTCATGGGTGATTCCTCTGGAATTTCGGTATTCAAATTGGCACTAATTGAAGTTGTTGAGATACTCAAATTATTTTCAGTGACTTAGAACATTTCTGTTTCAGGACTTTTCTGCATAAAATGACAGCAAGATTCCAGGCATTTTCCAGCCAAACCTCAAAAGGATCCCGGTTATTCAGTTTGTGCTAAATATTCTTTATTAAAAACTATCTTAAGTGTATATGTGTGTGTTTGTATACGAAAAAAATGCAAAAAAGAAGAGGCCGAAAGGCACGTTTGCAAAATCAATTGTGCAGTTTTTATTTTACTGCACTTTTATCGCATATGTCATTTATTACACAGTGGAAAACCGTTAAATGCACAGTAGTTGTGCCAAGTGGCATTATGCTTTTAACAGCTTTATTCGTTTAACAGTTCCAGCTCTCATTATATTTTGCCATGTGGTACGTGAGATTTTTATTCTTTTAACTGTGTATAAAAGGGGTCCATGGCATTTTCCTTTTATGTATTCCATATTGCACTCTTTTTTTCCTGTGAATATTAAGCCTTAGACGAAACTAAAAGCAAGGGGTATATTAGAAAACATGAACTGTTAGAAGAAAATGGACATGAGGACGATTTTGATCCATTTTATAATCAAACCAACATTACTGATGTGTAGGTTCACAATATTTCTGTTAAAATCAGTATGTGACTAATATTACTTTCTATGTTTTATTATTACTCCATTTCATCTTTTTTACTGAAAGGGAAAAAAACCCACTGTAAACCAAGAAATAGTGATTATCACTCTTTAAGATCTCTATCAAACATACAAAAACACCATCATTCAGAAATCCCTATTTTATAGTTTTGGATTTATTTGTGTTTTACTTTTTCTTACAAGATCCATGCGTTTTAGCTATTCAGTCTATTTAAAGAAGGAAGAAATTATTCTGGAACAAAAGCACAAATAAGAAAAGATTGTATAGGTATATTTTTTATCTGTAGAAGGGATTTGTCAACCTCAAAGTTATTCCGGCTCTTAAAAGAGAATCCCCTGCTCACCTGGCTTTTGTTGGCAGCTACTTTGGCGAACAGAGCCTGTGACACCTTGGCCCTTTTCATCTCCTGTTGGATCTCGTCATAAATGGCAGCTGTGATGTTGATGTTGGCTCCGTCCACCTTAATGGGGAGGTCTGTTGTCGGTGTTGAGGTTTTGGCCTATCGAGAGACCATGAAAATAATAATTAAAATAGTGCTGCTTTCAGCCCAGCCATCTGTGCAGAAATTATCAAAGGATTTCAGTCAGCTGATGCCAAACTGCATTAGCTACAGAGGGACACTTCCTGTCCATTATTCTAATCAGGTTAATTGTGATTGGAAATAATTGCAGGGCATTCCTATAGGACATACAAAGCATGTGTATGCACTCTCTTTCACTCTCTTTTTCTACAAACATACACACAGTATTCTTCAATTGCTCTGACTTTCAACACACACAAAAATATATACTAGGAAATTAAAAGGTTATGAATCAGATGAAGTAATGCTTAAACAATTATTTTATTCAGCTAGTCCTCAAATACAATATATTACCTATATGACTATTTGAATTTTTGCTCTCTCCCCCTCTTCTCCCCCCAAAAAATCATACCTTAGAGGAAGAGCCAATTCTTCCAGAAAAAAAAATGAGTAAATGCATAGAGGTCTCTAAATAATAAATTATTACTCAATTTAATGTACTCCCACAACTCTCTTTCATTCTTTATTAAAATTATACATGTCATTTGAGTATGTATGGTTCCCCATCATTATGCTGGCCAGACAGTCACCTAATTTCACCTAGGAAATCAGTGGGTATGAAAAAAAGATTAATAACTCTATGCCTGCCAGTGTGCTTGATATGCTGCCATTGACTTCATAAACCCACATTGCAGCTGGGTACATTCCATTACATTCCTTTTAAATAAATGATTTCCTATCGATTTCTATGACAATTGAAGGAAACTAATGAGAGAATATCTCCTTCACAGATAAATCTACTAAAAGAACTGAGGTGGGATTTTGCTGCACAAAAATCTAGAAATCTACTGCACATTACAGTGGCTACTAATTTTACTAAGAAAAGGCAAATCAGTTATTGCAAGAACTAATAAATCACGCCGGCAATCATTTTAATCAAGGACAGTTTAAAGAAACATGCAAAAGTAAAGTAATGACCAAGGACTCTACTTAAACTAGGCTAGTAGACTTTCAACTCTGTTATTCTGTTCAGCAAAGTTTTAGAATATTAAAATACATGTTAAAGCAAAAAGTTAGAAAAAGGTGAAAAAGACTGAAAGAAGTAATAGCAATTCCTCCATGCTGATCCATTACAACAGCATACAGAGTAAGCATTTTACATTGGTTGAAAGTTTAACAGGGCTAAATATTTTATCATCTTTAACAAAACAAAAGAGATGTCTTAACAAGGTATTATTAAAATGGAAGTGTGGGGTTTTGTCTTGTATTTGAGAACCAGGTTTAGGGCCAATTTGCCTTGTATTCGAAAAACCCAGATTTAAAAGTTGCTGTAATATAAATGTCTCAAGAATATATTCAGTATATTAAAAAAATATAGGATTAGAACCATTTTGGAATATGTTTACCTGTGTTCTCTGGTCAATTTGGAGAAGCTCTGAATTATTCCACCATGATTTGTGGCCCGAAGAAGCAGAATCTTCTTTATTATGGCACTAAAATTACAAAATTAAAGGGGCCTGGTTCTAGTTTCACTAACTTGTTATCAGACAATATAAAAAAATTATTTTAGTCAAATTTGTGATTATAAATTGCATTATTAAAAGGGCTTGAAAATTCACTTTTTCTAGTGTGTTAACAAGATTGTTTAAAAGATGCTGCTTTGTATTTTTATAATTATTACTTTATTTCAATGAAGTTTTATTTTTTCAAATAGACAAAATGGAGCAAACACAAAAGAATGGAGTATATAAATATACTTTACTAAAATCAGCCTCATATCTGGGTTTTTTTCTAATATCCCTTGACTTTTACCAAAGAACAAATTAAGAAGCAGAAGCCCATATTTAAATATTGCTATATTCATCTCAAAACATTTGGATTCTTTTTTTTTCTGATCAATTTGGCATTGATTATCTACTACCAAATACACATTCCAAAACAAAACTTGATCATCTTGAAAGCTACAACCAGAAAATTACAATTTTTAAAAAGCAATATAATAGGGAAAGTGAAAACAAACATTGACTATATTTCTTGATACTCTGAGATTATCTACTATACTGCAAAATTGTATCACAGATTGGTATCTATGGAAACAGTATTTTTTATATAGGATTAACTTCGGCATCAGGGGGAAAATTGTCTTTCATTTCAAATATGTTTTCTCCTGTCTGCCTATCATGGCGATATCTTAAAGCATTCTTCTAGCATTAAATTATTCTTCTCAGTACTATGATTTAGGCAAAAAATAAATCATATATGCAATAAGTTAACATATAGGAATTTTTCCCTGCTTCAGCAGCAGAAGGTAGCTTATACCACTGCAGATTTTGTTTTTTTTTCTAAAAGAAATCTATTCCATTCTCTAGATAATTTACTCACTTTCTATCTTGGATGTAATTCCCTGCCAGTGTTCAAATGAACTGGCATAAATGTTATAGTTATCTTCTTGGACTCTTCCCAGGGTGACCAAATGAGTTTTCATTTACAGGCATCTTATGTTTTCCATAGGGAGGCCAACCAAATATCAAATATTACATGGCTCCCAGAATTATTGTTAGCTGCCCGGAGGCACTTATAAATTCTTTCAATCAATCGACATTTGTTACCTTTCCAACACAAAGAAAAGCCCCTCTTAAGTTATATTTCACCTTTGCTGTTAATTTTGTCCCTCTTCTATTTTTAGTAGTGTTATACTTTTTTCTGTTAAATATTGTAACTTTTAGCTGTATCCTGCTCTAGAAATTATTAGCCTAAGGCTGAGGCATAAAAAAGAGGAAGAAAAATCATCATCAAAATCTAAGCGTAAAGCCTTATGATTATAATCAAATGTTCTTAAAGACAGAAAAGAAACAAAGAGCACTGATAACTGGAGAGTAAAAGTACACAGAGTGAAGCAAAACAGTCATAAATGCCAATTTTCACATATTGCATATATTCAGTTCCACCAAAGGAGTTAGATCTGTACACCCAGCCTCCCAAATTCTAAGTAAACATAAAGTAATCTCTAGAAACATCACCAAAAATTAGTAGAACAATATCCTCAGTAAAATGAGAGTGAGAGTTTTTCCTGAACTCATTTTTTCCTACTGAATATATAATTCAATTTTTTTGTCTGACTCCTATTTCTTCTCCACTTTAAAAATGAGTAGAAAACTATGTATTAGGTAAAACATATCTCAATACATAATGTGTTTGAGAAGTTTGTGAATTATCTAGGTAAAAAAATACTTGAACAAACATGTAAAATGCATACAAAATGTGTATATTTAGAGAAATATGTAGAAATATTTGTACGTATTTAATCTTTTAAATTTTAATCCTTTTACAATATTATACATAAATTAAATGGTAGTACAACCATATAATGTATATAGTATATAAAATACAATATACTATACTTTGAAAAAGGAGTTTATTTTATTTTTTAAAAGCTATATAGAATGGGAAAAACACCAAAGACAAAAGAAAAAAATATGATAACACTATATAAAATTATACTAAGCCAAATAAGGGGAGATAAAGTAAAAGAAGAGAAGGAAAATCTTTAGAAAGCAACCCTTTTACAAAACAAATATACCAAACAAAACTAGAAACTAAAAAAATGCATATGTAAATTATGTATTATCATACACACATAAACTGTTTTAAATAAGATAGTAGAAGAAGAATGGCATGGCATGGCATGGCATGGCAAAGATTAAAATAGAATAGAATAAATCCAGGTATAAAAATCACTTAGCTTGTTCCAACTTCAGCAATTTTTTTTAAATTATGATTTTTTAAAAATTTGCTAAAAGGTAAAATGTTATAGTTTGCTAATCCATACACTGATCCCCTATCCTTGAAGCATTTATTTATGTTCTGTCAGCCATTTCATAGCAGCTGAGGACTCCCTGTCTTCTCTAATAAATATTGTGTCAAAAGTTTGATTCAGACATTAATTTTCAGCGGTTCCTTTCTCCAACAATAATTGTGGGAGGAAACACAACATTATCATCCTATCATGCTCTCTGCTAGTAGAAATTCTGGTTCATCCTTTTGGCAACAACTATTAGCAGTTTAATGTAACCACATTCAACAGGCTGGATCGGTTCACTTAAACTTTCATGACTCAAAACCATTTGGGAGGTTAAAGATCAGCACTTACATGTTGAATTGTATCTCCAAGCCAACTACAGACCTCTAAAATATCTTCATTGAAATCCGTTAAACATGTCCAAGTACTTATTTTGAAAGGTTTAATTCTATTAGTCGCAATCAACCTAACAACCTCTTAATTTTATTTCAGCACTTCTAGATGCACCCTGGAGGTCAATTTGCCAACCAGAAGATGAGCCACTGAAGCAACTGAAAACAACCGTAGGATAAAATTAAAGGTACAATCCCTAAGTAAAATTATGAAAAAAGTTCAGGCACATGTTGAGAATGAAGTGCGCAATTGGTCCTGAAAGGAAACATCATGCCTAGCTCTGTACACCATTGCTTTGAGGAGATTCAGATCACAGCCAAAGGATATAACCTCCCCTGTAGGTATTTGAATTCTTTCATGTATTTAATTGAATGTTCCTTCTTTATATTTGCAGCATTAATTTTAAAAATAGTAGATCAGTTTCATCCCAGAAGTGTTATTAAAAGACCACATAATTTAAAACCCTAAGAATTTAAGAATGTCTTTTCTTTTCTAATTAATATCGGTCCAGGAAAAACCTAACCAGCCATCTTGTAGGATGCCCGACTTTAGGTTTTCTCTATGAGGGGACAACACTGAAAGCAATTATAATAGGGTTGAACCTTACCTGGGGGGTTCTGGAGGAACTTGGACTGCTGGCAGCTGAAGACACCATGCTCACATTGGGGTTCATACTCCTCTCTCTCTCATCCTGATATATACGATCTCGCTCTGTCTCAGGTAGGTTGAGGAAATTCTGCATTGCCCTCAGATTTACCAGGAGGGATTGCGAAGCTGTTCTAGGGTCTTCTTCTTTACGCAGTATCTCTGATAGCAATCCCTGGTTCAAAAAATTAAAAAAAAGTCCAAGTCTTTTAAAAAAAAAATGTGTTAGTTATAATTGGCCAGGCTGCAGGCTTGAGACCTTTCATCAGATGTCAAAGCACATGGAATGTTTTCTAGAAACAAACCTTGTTTTCTAGGGCCCACGACTGATTTAAGAGCAATTATATTCTACCTTTCACTTAAGAACAACCCAAATACAAATCTGCCTTGGAGGCAAGTGAGTAGTAAAGACACCATTATAACACTGCAATTATAGACAGGTGCCTAAAAACTATTAGAGTTCTCACTTTTTCTGCTTGAGGTTGCAAACACTTGGCAGTTCTGTTCAACTTCAGGAATCTGCCAAGTTTGGTAAATTTAGTTCAGACATTTAAACAGCTCAGGGGACTTATGAAGAAAAATGTTTGGCAAGGTTTGGATGTTACAGTTCGTTCACTGCAAACTGTCGATTCTTTCTAATAGGGAAAATGCTGCAAATATGAGAAATCCTTAAGATAATTCATCTTTAAAATGAATTAATTTGGAAATTGCTGCCTCGTTTAAAAAGTTGGGAGGTGGCAATGGTCAGATTCATCAAATATATCTAGATTGTTTGAGTCTTTTACATGAAAGAAGTCAGCAGTTCAGTTCTACTACAGCTTATAAAGTCTTAGAAAGCAAGTAAAGTCATAGAATATAAAAAGTTATGGAGCACTAGGACATAAAAATTACCGATTACTCTGACACTAAGACTTTAGTCTTTGAGTAACAGAATCTCTAATCATTTGCTGTACTTTCGTGCTCCTTTGTCCTGGAGAATTTCAACTAAAATTTCCTCTTTATAGCAGTTTCATAACTAGAAAATAACTCCTACTTGTGCTGCAAATAAATGGTACAACTGCCACCTAAATGTTACGGTATTTTGTCCATCCTCCTTCCTTCTATCTGCACTCTGCATAGAACTTCAACATATTGCCAATTCCTCCAAAATACCATTCTCGGAAGGGAAAATCATTGGCTGTGTTGTTTCTAGGCAGGAAAGTTTATAGCAAATTAATGTGTCCCAATCTTATTTCAATATATAAAATTTCCCTGCATCAAGATATATGGGGGAAATGCTCCCAATTACTTAAAATGAGAAATTCATACATACATGAAAAAAGTGAAACTGATACTCTTTGAAGAAGCAGACCAGAATCACAAAGAGAAGACTACTTAAGAAAAAATAATTGTTGGACCAATCACCCTCCCTCAGCCTAATCAACTTTCCAGGACTGTGGTTGAGAGGAAAAATAGGAGGGAACCGTATGTATGTCGCCTTGAGCTTCTATATAAAAGGAGGATATGCTAAGATATGTAACAAATCAATGCAAAATATAAAATAATTATTCAAGGCACAGGTACTTCGTGACCCGTCAAAACCGCGGAGGACAAAATCGCGATCGACGAAAGCGCGCATGTGACATCATCACAGCGCGACAAAAAAAATTAAAAATTGAAATAAAATTAAAATTAAAGCAAGCCGATTCACATAAAGGTAAGGGTTAGGGTTAGGGTTAGGGTTAGGGTTAGGGTTAGGTTAAGGGTTAGGGTTAGAGCGTTAGCGTTACC